AGGTACATCTGCATGGATTTCTAAATTTACACATTTAACAAACAGATCTTCGGTTATTAATACCCACATTTTGGTACACCGCTTTCCAGGCATCTGGAATATTTCATTTATTTATTTATTTATTTATTTATACATACAATAATTGTTACAGTCTTGTACAGCCAATGGCTCGCAAAACACTTCGGACAGGTCCTTAAACCTAATTTTCCCTGGAATACGACCCGCCAAATCGTTTAACAGGAGCCCATTCACTGCTGGGTAAACAGAGGCTACAGTTAAGGATTGGCGCCCAGTCAATCCTCCCCGGCTAGGATACGAACCCAGGCCAAGGTGCTCGTGAAACGGCAGGCGAGTGTCTTACCACTGCACCATGGGGACGGCTTACAATATTGGAATACTATTATTGGTATCTTAATTATTATACAATATTTGGTTATTTTTGGGCGCCACTACAGGCTGGTGTGGTGAACTGTGGCTGGTGTGGTGAACTGTGGCTGGTGTGGTGAACAGTGGCTGGTGTGGTGAACTGTGGCTGGTATGGTGAACAGTGGCTGGTGTGGTGAACTGTGGCTGGTGTGGTGAACAGTGGCTGGTGTGGTGAACTGTGGCTGGTGTGGTGAACTGTGGCTGGTGTGGTGAACAGTGGCTGGTGTGGTGAACTGTGGCTGGTGTGGTGAACTGTGGCTGGTGTGGTGAACTGTGGCTGGTGTGGTGAACTGTGGCTGGTGTGGTGAACAGTGGCTGGTGTGGTGAACAGTGGCTGGTGTGGTGAACTGTGGCTGGTGTGGTGAACTGTGGCTGGTGTGGTGAACTGTGGCTGGTGTGGTGAACTGTGGCTGGTGTGGTGAACAGTGGCTGGTGTGGTGAACTGTGGCTGGTGTGGTGAACTGTGGCTGGTGTGGTGAACTGTGGCTGGTGTGGTGAACTGTGGCTGGTGTGGTGAACAGTGGCTGGTGTGGTGAACTGTGGCTGGTGTGGTGAACAGTGGCTGGTGTGGTGAACTGTGGCTGGTGTGGTGAACTGTGGCTGGTGTGGTGAACAGTGGCTGGTGTGGTGAACAGTGGCTGGTGTGGTGAACAGTGGCTGGTGTGGTGAACAGTGGCTGGTGTGGTGAACAGTGGCTGGTGTGGTGAACTGTGGCTGGTGTGGTGAACAGTGGCTGGTGTGGTGAACAGTGGCTGGTGTGGTGAACTGTGGCTGGTGTGGTGAACAGTGGCTGGTGTGGTGAACAGTGGCTGGTGTGGTGAACTGTGGCTGGTGTGGTGAACAGTGGCTGGTGTGGTGAACAGTGGCTGGTGTGGTGAACAGTGGCTGGTGTGGTGAACAGTGGCTGGTGTGGTGAACAGTGGCTGGTGTGGTGAACAGTGGCTGGTGTGGTGAACAGTGGCTGGTGTGGTGAACAGTGGCTGGTGTGGTGAACAGTGGCTGGTGTGGTGAACAGTGGCTGGTGTGGTGAACAGTGGCTGGTGTGGTGAACAGTGGCTGGTGTGGTGAACAGTGGCTGGTGTGGTGAACAGTGGCTGGTGTGGTGAACAGTGGCTGGTGTGGTGAACAGTGGCTGGTGTGGTGAACAGTGGCTGGTGTGGTGAACAGTGGCTGGTGTGGTGAACAGTGGCTGGTGTGGTGAACAGTGGCTGGTGTGGTGAACAGTGGCTGGTGTGGTGAACTGGTGTGGTGGAACTGTGGTGTGGTGAACTGTGGCTGGTGTGGTGAACAGTGGCTGGTGTGGTGAACTGTGGCTGGTGTGGTGAACTGTGGCTGGTGTGAACTGTGGCTGGTGTGGTGAACTGTGGCTGGTGTGGTGAACTGTGGCTGGTGTGGTGAACTGTGGCTGGTGTGGTGAACAGTGGCTGGTGTGGTGAACTGTGGCTGGTGTGGTGAACTGTGGCTGGTGTGGTGAACTGTGGCTGGTGTGGTGAACAGTGGCTGGTGTGGTGAACAGTGGCTGGTGTGGTGAACAGTGGCTGGTGTGGTGAACAGTGGCTGGTGTGGTGAACAGTGGCTGGTGTGGTGAACAGTGGCTGGTGTGGTGAACAGTGGCTGGTGTGGTGAACTGTGGCTGGTGTGGTGAACTGTGGCTGGTGTGGTGAACTGTGGCTGGTGTGGTGAACTGTGGCTGGTGTGGTGAACTGTGGCTGGTGTGGTGAACTGTGGCTGGTGTGGTGAACTGTGGCTGGTGTGGTGAACTGTGGCTGGTGTGGTGAACAGTGGCTGGTGTGGTGAACTGTGGCTGGTGTGAACAGTGGCTGGTGTGGTGAACTGTGGCTGGTGTGGTGAACTGTGGCTGGTGTGGTGAACTGTGGCTGGTGTGGTGAACTGTGGCTGGTGTGGTGAACTGTGGCTGGTGTGGTGAACTGTGGCTGGTGTGGTGAACTGTGGCTGGTGTGGTGAACTGTGGCTGGTGTGGTGAACTGTGGCTGGTGTGGTGAACTGTGGCTGGTGTGGTGAACTGTGGCTGGTGTGGTGAACTGTGGCTGGTGTGGTGAACTGTGGCTGGTGTGGTGAACTGTGGCTGGTGTGGTGAACTGTGGCTGGTGTGGTGAACAGTGGCTGGTGTGGTGAACTGTGGCTGGTGTGGTGAACTGTGGCTGGTGTGGTGAACTGTGGCTGGTGTGGTGAACAGTGGCTGGTGTGGTGAACTGTGGCTGGTGTGGTGAACTGTTGCTGGTGTGGTGAACAGTGGCTCATCACGAGTTGTGGTTATGGTGGTTATGGTGGCTGTGGTTATGGTGGTTGTGGTTATGGTGGCTGTGGTTATGGTGGTTGTGGTTATGGTGGCTGTGGTTATGGTGGCTGTGGTTATGGTGGTTGTGGTTATGGTGGCTGTGGTTATGGTGGCTGTGGTTATGGTGGTTGTGGTTATGGTGGCTGTGGTTATGGTGGTTGTGGTTATGGTGGCTGTGGTTATGGTGGCTGTGGTTATGGTGGCTGTGGTTATGGTGGCTGTGGTTATGGTGGTTGTGGTTATGGTGGCTGTGGTTATGGTGGCTGTGGTTATGGTGGCTGTGGTTATGGTGGTTGTGGTTATGGTGGCTGTGGTTATGGTGGCTGTGGTTATGGTGGCTGTGGTTATGGTGGCTGTGGTTATGGTGGCTGTGGTTATGGTGGCTGTGGTTATGGTGGCTGTGGTTATGGTGGTTGTGGTTATGGTGGCTGTGGTTATGGTGGCTGTGGTTATGGTGGCTGTGGTTATGGTGGCTGTGGTTATGGTGGCTGTGGTTATGGTGGCTGTGGTTATGGTGGCTGTGGTTATGGTGGCTGTGGTTATGGTGGCTGTGGTTATGGTGGCTGTGGTTATGGTGGCTGTGGTTATGGTGGCTGTGGTTATGGTGGTTGTGGTTATGGTGGTTGTGGTTATGGTGGCTGTGGTTATGGTGGCTGTGGTTATGGTGGCTGTGGTTATGGTGGCTGTGGTTATGGTGGCTGTGGTTATGGTGGCTGTGGTTATGGTGGCTGTGGTTATGGTGGCTGTGGTTATGGTGGCTGTGGTTATGGTGGCTGTGGTTATGGTGGCTGTGGTTATGGTGGCTGTGGTTATGGTGGCTGTGGTTATGGTGGCTGTGGTTATGGTGGCTGTGGTTGTATAGTGGTTGTTTATTGTTATTGTTGTTGGGTTTGTAGTGCTTACCTATTAGTGACTATGGGGGGTTGAAATTTAGCTCATGGCTTGTCTCATACCCACTTATGCCCTGCCTCATACGTACCCACTTAAGCCTGGCATGCTAATTCCCCTCTCTCTCTCTCTCTCTCTCTCAACATTAGCATTTCAGTCATATTTTTCTTAAAGTTGTGGATGGAGGCAGCTTCACCAAAGTGTTCATCAATGTGTTCCACTTGCTGACAGTACTTGCAGGGTACAACAATTTCCCCACATCTCTCACTTACTCGTTCACCTTACAATTATGTCCCCTTGTTCTACCATATCCTAAATAGGTATAGTGTCCATGCTTAGATTGGTTTAACTCCTTTTATTTTAAAAAGTGATATTTTTACACAATTATATTTCAATTCAGATCAGATTTATTTTATAAATCACACACCAGAGCACCACACCAGAAATAAATACAGTTTTGATATTCCTAGAGTACGACTTAATCAAACCAGAAATGCTCTACAAATCAAGGGGCCCAGAATGTGGAATGACCTTCCCAACCATGTTAAAGACTGTACCTCTCTCAACCAGTTTAAGTTAAAAACGAAGCTATACCTAATAAATTCCCTGTAACCTACCTTACCCCTCTATTGTCAACCCATGTATGTTTTTTGTTTTTTTTTGTTTTTCAAATCAACGCTGTTTGAATGTAATTTTCTGTAATAATTTGTAATTGTATTTGTGCTGCTTTTTCAACAATGTTCCCCCCTCTTTTACCTCTATTTTTATTTGTACTCAACGCATTTTTTTCTTTTTACCCATTAGTTTTAAGCTTTAGTCATTAGTGTTTTTTCCTGCCCGAAACGCTTTGCGTAATAGTGGCTTTAGGCATTGTATGTACTACCTCTATCTATAAAGCCAACAAACTTTGTAAAATCTCTTTATGTATGTACCTTTACCTAAATAAAAATTATTATTATTATTATTATTATTATTATTATAATATGAATGCATAATACTGTATTATTATACATTATATTTACTATTCATATTTTAGATTTTCCACCTAGTTATTGAATATACTGTATTAAACCAACCCATGCACATAAAATTAAATTAAAGTAATATTATTTTGGACCATCCAGGAACCTTATCAGGTTGAAACATGTCACTCCTGAATAAAGATCCAGTCTGGACCAAAACATCCTTGCTGTCATTTCATATACTGTATGTGGGTTGGTTTATTCGTTTCCAGCAATGTTATTGTGACCTGTTCTCTGCTTATCAAATATATTTTTTACTCCACAAATAAAATAGAAGTTTTAGTTTCAATTACCGAGCGCCAACACCTTCAATATACATATGCCAACATAATACCTCTGATATATTAATATTGTGATTCCCACAGTGTGGTGGTAAGCTGGGTGTTGGAAGACGTGGCCCCACACTCCCTAGGAGACTCCCTCATTGCCGTCCGTGCTGGATGGATGGGCAAGGACTGCTCTCAACTTTACCCCGAGTGCCCCCTTCACCCGGACCCTCATCCCGCCACTAAGGAGGCCATCACATTCTTCTCCAGGTATCCCATTTGTTAAGTAGCTATTGAGCTTACTTTACATCAAAATAAAATAGTATTTTGGTAAGGTGAAGAAATTAGACACACAAAGTATAAATGTAGCATTTAACTAAAGACACCCCCTCGTAAGAGTTGGAATCCGCCATCTGGGAGGCATTTACCTCCATGCTGAACCATATCTTGAGAAAGGCTAATAATACAACAGTGAAACATGGTATCCTAGAAAATCAAACTGATTTTTATCTTAGAAGGTTGCCCACTTTTAAATGAGTTTCTCTCCAATCACATATTCCCAGTCTCAGTGAGATGTACTCTGTCCCTCCCACCAAGAGAAAAGGTATACTACACGAAACCATTTTTAACATTTCAGTGCAAGTGTCTTCCTTGTTGGTCTCTTGATTTCAATGTTGAATTAACACATGTCAGTTGCAAACCAAAGATTGAAAATGTTCATGTGTCCGTACCACAGTATGCAACGGAGAATGCCTTTTGGTTTCTGATCTACAAAGATTGCAGCCATGCACTTCTTTCATATCCATAAAGTTCACCTAGACCCAGACCTGTTTTTATATGAGCACAGGATATTTTGAGTGGACATTTTAATTTGGCTGGAGTATGAGTGTAGGGTATTCTTCTTAGCAACTCCAATAGTGTAAGATCATACACTGTCAAATGCTAGAATTTGTCTGGCCACTAGTATTTTCTGGACTTTACCAATACTGTATATATATATTGTTGTGGATGCACGAAAACTGACTTTGACCTTGTGTAACCAATCACTACAGATAATAATGGTGGTATAGTGTTAAAAATTCAAAATCTACTTTTGTTTGTGCTTTGAGTATTACCCCTCCAGATTTTCTATGACTTTTGACCAGGTTTCCCTCAGTCCTTCAGCTAACACACCCCAGGGATAAAGACTGCCATTCAATCTTTCCGGCCCGCTGTGAGAGACTGAATAGAATTACAAAAACTGCTGCTAGATGTTCTGCAATGTCCCAAGTGTAGGCTGAAGCTGTGAGGAGGACAACCTCTGAATGAGCAACTACAGTCTCTCCAACCCTTTCTCCCAAAAATTTTATTTAAAATGTGCACCCTCAATATTAACTTGAATATTGCATGGTCTCTGTATGTGGCAAAGCCAAACATTTCTCCAATCAAAGAGAATGACCAGATAGAGCTTCTTAACCAGAACACATATTAGCACATATTTCAACATACAGTGGTACCTTCATTTACGAATTGAATCCATTCCCAGAGACGGGTCATAACTGAAAAATTTGTAACTTGAAGCGAATTTTCCCATAAGAAATAATATAAATTGAATTAATCCATTCCACACTCCCCAAAAAATTAACTTCATACATAATACACATACAGTGGCACCTCGACTTACAATTGCCCCGACTTACGATAATTTTGAGTTACGATGTAAATTTCATCGAAAAATGCGACTCGACTTATGATAGTCGTCGACTAACGATATTTGGTGGTACACATTTGGGTCAACCAAGCACGTGGTTCCCGGTCACGCAGGCCGACCTGCCTCAGTTTACTAAAGCTGCCCGCTTAGTGATCACGCATATAAGAAATTCCATTTTTATGGTGATTTTTTGCTTTTTGAACATAAAACTGATTATTACAGTATATATCACGTCATGGGTCCCACGAAAGTCAGTGGTGAGGTTCAACCTAAGAAAATAGTTGAGGCAGTAGAGGATGTCCCTTCCTCATTAAGAAAATGTGTGAAGTATGGGAAAAACTGCAAAGTTTTGTTGAAAAACTTCCCCAGATAAAGCTGTAGCAGGCCATTGCATAAACCTTTTAAATGACAATGTGATGTCTTACTACAGACAAGTGTTAAAATATAGGGAAAAACAAATGTCTTTAGACAGATTCTTAGTAAGACAAGCAAGCAGTGAGCCACAAGCTGGTCCTAGTGGTATGCAGGCAAAACATGCCAGAGAGTGTATCCCAGAAAAGTCATTACTGCCTGATGTTATAATGGAAGGGGACTTCCCTTCCAAACAGTAACACCTCTCCTCCTCCCCCCCCCCCCCATCACCATCTTCCATGCGCCATCAAGAGTCCTCCATAAAGGTAAGATAAACATATGTACTGTATTGTAGTTAGAGAAAAAAATTGTATTCAGTATAAAATGTATTTGTAAGTTAATATTTTGGAGGGTGGGGAACAGATTAATTCAATTCCCTTTATTTCTTATGGGAAAAAGCTCTTCAACTTACGATATTTTGACTTACGATATGTCTCTGAAAACGGATTACCATCGTAAATCGAGGCCCCGCTGAACATAGTTTGTACTATAGTATGTAAAAGTTATAGCTTACCTTTATTGATGACTCTCGTTGGCATATGGTAGATGGTGAGGAGGGGAGAGGAGAGGTGTTACTGTTTGGAAGGGGAGTCCCCTTCCATTATAACGTTAGGCAGTGATGACTTCTCAGGGGTATTCTCTCTCCTATGTTTTGCAGTAAACCCAGCCAAGACCAAACCTGAGAGGGACCCAGATGGGACTTCCTCCAGTTCACCAGGAACTCAAACCTGGCGAGCTGGGAAAGAACCAAATCCCTGGTGAGCAGACACGCGGACTGGCTGGGAGCCCCCCACACCAGCCAGTCGTCGAGGTAGGCTAGAACTCAAACCCCTAACAGACACAAACGGGCCACAATGACCTGGGTAAGGCTTGTGAACATGCGAGGTGCCAGATTCAAGCCGAATGGAAGGCAATGAAAGCGGTAAGCCTGATGCCCCACAACAAAACCTAGCCAGTCCCTGAACCCCAGATTTATTGGGACATGCCAGTATGCGTCCCAAAGCTCCAGGGACATCATCTAAGCACCCGGCTCCAAAAGAAGATGGACCTATGACAGTAGTCATCAGAAAAGAAATGGCAATAGACCCAAGGGTTCAGACGGGACAAGTCCAGAATGAACCGCAGGTCCATGCAGTCCTGTTTCGGAACCGGAAACAGGCAGGAAACTCACCTGAGGGATAAGGCTGTTTCAATCACTCCCAAGTGAACCCACTCTAAGATGACCGGACAAAGCGCAGGAGAAGAAGCCTACATCGCTAGCCCCAAACCCCCCGAAGGAGGAGGGGCCAGCCCAACGCCACTGTAGGCCGCAAGAAACGACCTGAAACGCCCACGAAACGTGAAACCAGGCGTGAGCAAACAGTGCGAACCTCCCCCCTCCCATCGCCTTGTCAATGGGACGAACCACGAAAGGGCTGACGCCTATTATGAGAAGCCAACTTATGAGCAGAGCGATCGCCGCGCCAACCAGACATCGTCGGTTCTAAAGGCTACGCCAGCTCCGAAATTGGCACCACTGGCCTACCATGATGGGAGGAACCCCAAGCCCTGGCACAACCCTTCTGGGAAGCCCCCCTCCCCTTGGGCTCCCCGGAAAACCAACAAGTCCGACATGGGACAAGAACTAGAAGAGGCCGTTTTCAGATACTGCAAACAGCAAAGGACAAAAAGGCTTAGAAAACCTAAGAGGCAGGGGGCCCACGTGGTTTCCACAGACTGAGCGAGCTCCTCCTGCTGGTACGCGAGACAAGAGGCAAAGAACAGACACCGCCTCCCGCATGATCGGCGCAAATAGCTTCATCAGAGCAGCCGACGCCCGCGCCGTCGAGACCATCGCATCAGACCCAGGATTGGCCCCAAGCACCTCCACATCCTCTTCAAGCAAGTCTGAAGACAGCTCGAGAAGGGAAAAGAAAAGCAAGACTGAAGCCAAATGGCTACAGGCACGCAAGTCCTCAGCTACCAGGGCAGCTGAAAGGAAAGGAACCTGCACGTGAAGCTGAGCAAGGCCGACATACCGAGGAAGAGCAGGGGCAAACAAACATGCACTGAGGCCCTCAAACTCGACCCCCAGGTAAATCTGTACAATAGTACAGGCCTCTCGCCACTGGGGGGGGGGGGGGCTGGTGGCTAAGTGGACAGCACGCTGGACATGTAATCCTGTGGTCCCAGGTTCGATTCTCGGTGCCGGTGAGAAACAATGGGCCGAGTTTCTTTCACCCTGATGCCCGTTACCTAGCAGTAAATAAGTACCTGGGAATTAGACGGCTGTTACGAGCTGCTTCCTGGGAGGGTGTGTGCATGTGTGGGGAAAAATAAATACAATACATACATAAATAAATTAGTTAGTAGTTAGTAACAGTTAATTGAGTGACAGTTGAGAGGCGGGCCAAAAGAGCAGAGCTCAACCACCTCAAGCACATCTAGGTGAATACTCAAGCGCGCGGGACCAACAGAACGTATGCCACGCCCCCAACAAAAAGATAGGACAGTCTGCCAACCAGGACGACTCCGGAACCTCGTTACGAACCCAGTAAGGAAAAAAAGAACCAAACTCGAAAGCGGCAGGTTATATAGAGATGATTTTGGGGCTTTTAGTGTCTCTGCGGCCCGGTCCTCAACCAGGCCTCCACCCCCAGGAAGCAGCCCATGACAGCTGACTAACTCCCAGGTACCTATTTTACTGCTAGGTAACAGGGGCATAGGGTGAAAAAAAAACTCTGCCCATTGTTTCTCACCGACGCTCGGGATTGAACCAGGATCACAGGATCACGTGTCCAGCGTGCTGTTCGCTCGGCCGACCAGCACCGACAGGATCCATTATCGAGGCGTAATCCGGGTCGTGCAGGAGGTAAGCTGCGATATTTCCTACCGCATGCAGGAGGCCGAAAACTTCCAGAAAGAAGGAACCGAAGTATCCAGGGAACCCGAAATCGAATCTGGGGAGCAGTAGACGCCATATCATACTCGTACAAAGAGGGGGCTAAGAAAACTTCACCTCCTGCAACAAAATGCCCCGCTAAGAGGGTTCCAAAACCCAGGCAGGGTCAAACGGGGCCCAAGCCCCCCAAGTCAACCTCTGCCCCGCCCTGGAAACCTCCACATCAGGACCCAGGACCGAGTCGTCCCCCAAACCCTCCCTGCCTCAAAAGAAAAGGCAGAAGCCGCCGGAAAAGCTGAACCGAACGGAGCCCACTCGTCATACCCAGAAGCACCGACTAAAGAAACTGGCTCAAATGCCTCCATCGTCACACCGGAAGGGGCATCCCCAAAAACTGCCCGAGTCTCACCATCAACTAAACCCTGCCCCGAATCTGAAACTCTCAGACGCTTTGGTGCCGGAAGCAGGGCTGAACAGGATGAACAACGGCAGGGGTAGGACAAGGGGGCACGGACGAAACCAAAGTTGAGGTGACTAACATCCCCAAGTCCGGGTCCCTATAACCAAAACAGGGCAGTCTCGAGGCATCCGGGTGAGCAACCAACCTAGCGTGCTGCATAAACCTATAAAGTGCATGCAGTGCCGATGCTGCCTGCACCCTAAGAACAATATCAGTGGACTGGGTGATCTGGAGAACAAACAAGCAAGCAAAACCACTTGCAGGACTCCGGGTTGAAGGTGTCACCAACCCAACAGAGGCAAAATAGGTGATTGTCACCCTGAGACACAGGGACAGAGCAACCTTCAAACTCGCACGAAGCGAGATGGGACCCCAGCGGATGATTCCATTGGACGACTGAGCCCCAGTGGGGATTTCCAGGGCCCTTAGACGCTCTACTAAGGGAACCCCAGGCAAGGCACTGTACTGTTAACTGGCACCACAACTACCAAGTGAACAATAGCTGAACCCCTGGGATGTGTACACACACGGGGGACCTAGTGGAGGACCACCAAGAATACAAGATATATATATATTTATAGCAACAACACCAAGGGCAAACCTTCCACCAGTCAGAAAATAAAAGAAAAACCCTGTACGAGTACAATGTACCCAGGCGGAACAGAGTTGACCGCTATATCAGGTGAAGAACAGCTGCACAGTACCTTGCGCTCCTACCAGTGACGAAACCACCACCTACTCAGAGGCAAAAAGAGGCACATGAAACACCCCAGCTGACTCTAAGAGCAGGCAATTACCGAGCAGTAAGAGACCTCAGCGGAGGTAACCCCAAGCAACTTGTGGAAGATAACCCCAAGCCACAAGAGCAGTACTTACAGGGCACCTAGGTACGGTAACCCTAGGTGCATGCAGCCTGATTACTGTTGAAAATACTCCTGGGTCACACACCACCACAGGACAGAACCACACCACAAAGCACAGCACTGAATAGAGTCTGAAGCCAGAGTTGCACGACCGCCAGGTCTCACATCAGCCACAGAACTGGCGGGTTAGATAGCAACATGAGGGGAGAGGGGAGCTGCGCAGACAGTGGCGCAGTGAAGGTTGTGATGTCATGCTCGTTTGCTCGTTTTTCGTTTGGGGAGTTTTGTCCAACAGTTCAGCTTTCAGTAGCAATATTTTCACCATATAGGGTTTGTTTTGGGGCACCGACCTTCTGGGTGCCTGACCCAGTTGATGGCAGACATAGAATGCTTCCAACCACACAGGGGGTTTCTATAGGCCATTGCTCCTCGTGCCTCTCTGAGGGGGCCAGGTTCTGGCTCGTGGTCTCCAGTAGGCCTAGAACTCCATTCACTTTGACTGATGCCAGGGTCTAATATATTCATATCAGCCCGGATAGTTCCGGGGAGCCGAAGGGGCTATCCCCCAGAAATATCCAAGAAAACACGAGAATGTTTACTGAGAAATTTAGTGAGGTTGTGCACTGAATGACAGCTACTGGGAAACTGACTCGTTTGTTACGCATGTGTACATTTGAGTGCTGAGCAAACAGTTGACTGTCGAGCATTTTTGTTCCAGAATAAAGTGTTTTGAGTTCAGAATTGTTCAAATTCAGAGCCGTTTGAGTGCCAAGGTACCAGTGTGCTCAAAAATTTTAGTGCTAAGTACAGAATTTAAAAGTCTTGAATAGATGCACAGTATTTGAAAGTCTGGAGAGTCAAGAATATTGTACTGCAGTCCTGATTTATTAGGTTCCAGTGTATAATGAACTATACAAATTTAGTACAGTATGTATATAGATTTCTGTTTCTACAACTAATGTTAATTAACTGTTATGTATTACCCTCAGGTTACAGTTTGCTGCCACTCAATCCCCAGACCAATCAGAACATTCAGAAGGTCAACTCTCCCAAGATCAGACAATGACCACTTTGACCAAACGCATTGATGCCCCTGAAATACAAGACTTTGGTATACAGAAAAATACACCATGGCCACCTTACCCCTCTCAAAGGCAAGAGTTCCACGTCACCCCAACACCACAGACTCAGCATCAGCCACAGGATCTACCATTAGCCCCCAATTCCTCTCGACCAGCTCATAACTATTGGCCAACAGAGACTGAACCTCAACATTCTCAAGGTAGTGAGTCTAATGATAATGATGCAGCAGCCTCATTCCATGCTTATTATGAGCGTTACGGAGGCCAAGGACCGATGTCTGTGCCAGGATCACAGTACAGCTCAAAGTACGGACAACTGGACAGAGAGAATGGCGGTAAGAACTCGGAAGAATTGTACGACAAGTATGACAGTCCCGTTTCCAGCTCTGTTGAAGGAGCAATCTCAAACTCCAGCAGTGTGTCTGGCATGGCACTCCAAGACCCTCCAACTGGAACCAGCCCAAAAGTGTGGGAAAAATTGTTCAAGGCAGGACTCTATGGTACAAGTGTTCCACAAGCACAAACTTCAGACCACAAAGTAAGTAATAATGGAGAACAATACACTTAGAAATATGAATTCTTATAAAAAAATTCAATCAATTGTGACTGTAATGATAAAACAGTTTAACAAATCAGAAAGTTTTAATTTATATACAATAAATTTTGTATTTAAGCAAAATATATAAATAAAATTTGTTCAGCAAGATAGAGCATTAACCCTTAACCTGTTCACCCTTTTTAGGTCATTTTCTGGGTGCTCATAAAAAAATCTAAAGAATTCTTTCTCCTTTTTTATATTGTAAAACATTTATTTCTACTGTTGGGGAAAAAATCTAATCATTTTACCTTGGCTGTATTGAGGCGAAGAAATGTTGAAATCGAATAATGATCATTCAATTTTAAGTAAACTATCTGTAGCAGATTTCTCCTTATAACACATATCTTCTCGGTCTATAGAAATCCATGAAAGTTTTCAAGGAGAAAATGGTTCCAAAGCACAGGTATCAGTAAATGGATGGTGATGCACCTAATAATGGTGCAGATTTTTTTAATAATGCCCCCAGTTAGGTAACTAAGGTTTTCAGGCTTTTTTCCCCAATATGGCATTCTAATCAGAGGTCTCTAGTGTCAAAATAACATTAACATAGAATACTTAGCAACTCTGTATATTATGAGACACAGTAAATCATCCACAGGTGACAGAAGAATCATCAGTCTATCGTTTGAGGGCAACAAGTTCAGTTTAAGGGTTAAGAATAACCAAACTGAGGACATTTGTCTATCATTATGTGACAGAGGAAAGTTTACTGCTTGTGAAGCTATTCTACTTATTTGGCAGTTTTAAGGCCAGTCAAGGTTTACAAAGCAAGTTTGGTCAAATAAACCAAACATTATAATATACAGTAAATATTTAGAGAACAGTTTTACAAGTGTCATACAGTAACCTTACATTTTGATGTGAACCTACATGTTAAGTGATACTGTAAACCAAGCTTAAGTTTGTGACAATCATGGAGACACACCATGACCACGTCTCTTTGGGTTGGTCATTCTTTTCCAGTTAGGTAAATAAACTCTACTCTCTCTCTCTCTTTTATACGTACAATACTGTTCACCAATATAAATATTTCAGCTAGTTTTTGTATTTTTATTTCAGTTAACATATGTAGATTTAAGCCTAGAGAAGATGCTTAATGCTCATGATGGGGTGTTAAAGTATTAGTATTTTAGTAATATTAGATTTACATTAATGAAACATGTATAATGTGCTGAAAGTGGTTTTCTATTTTCGGTGGTCAGGGAGCCTGTTAATTAAGCTTATCCAGGTCTCCCTAGCCGAGGGTTAATTATGTACTGTACTGTACTATAATAGTTTTAAATATTTATCTAATATTTTTTATGGCTATAGTGAATAGAAGTAAATATAGACATCAAATCCTAGATGAAATAACAGAATGAGAGAGAGAACACATTTACAGTCGAGTGAAAAGATAACTTGACAATGGAGAAGCAGTTTGCAGCAAACCAGGAAGTGTGCAGTACATTATCAGTTTATGTTACAAAAATTAATGACTGTATTTTATAAAAACATAAATTTTTCAGGAGTCATCTAGTGACGAATCTAACACAATCAAATCATCTCTCCGTCAACACCCCCAAAGAAGACAGTCCATGCAGCCTACGTCCAGCCTTAACAAGATGGGTGCATTATTACCTCAGCAATTTCCCCATAACAGTGACAAAAACAACCATGGCCATTTGAAATATTCCCAACAAGGCAGACCAGCCCGGCCTTTCTTCAGTCTTAGACCAACACAGAAACATCAACAAGCAACACGAGCTCCTCCTAGTTCTCCTCCATCAACACAGGCACCGCCTATAAAAAAATATAAATACGGGTTGCGACGCGGTCTACCTGCAGGCAATGTAAATGGTCACAATGCATATATGAGCAACAATAACCTGCATCAAAGACATAAGTCTTGGTATACCTATAACACCAACACTAGGTACCAACCAACCCCACCTACAACCTCTTCCACAACTACTAGTACAACAATTCATCCACTGAAGCTGAAGGATGTTGCTCCATTTGGGCCCGAAGATGCTGTAACAGATGTGCTTCGAAATGAACTCTTGTTTGAGTATATACGTGACAGAAAGATTTCCATACCAAGCAATGATAAACGAAGTATATCATGAATGTCTATAACCAAAAAGTGATAATTTGGAAAGTAAATGGTAAGAATATAAAAACTATATTGTACTACACAAAATGTAATATTATATTAAGGTAGGGGGTGTTCCCAAGTGAAGGCACACATTCAGAAAAGTTAGTGTTTTAATTAACTTTTAATACTCAAGAGATGTGTACCAGCATTTTCATATAGTACAGCAACTTCCAAACAGTTAGGACTTGTGGTGCATTTATCTTGTTTTGTGTAAAATATCAAATATAAAAATTCCTACCATACCAAATTTAATTATAAAGATACTGTACCCTTTCCTTTTAAGTAGAGAGGCATTGGTCTCAATTTGTGTCATTTTGTTTTAATAAATACGAATGTTTAGGTCAGAGGTAACTGCTCGGTCAAAATGGGGAGGGTCTCGGTGAAATTCGGTAAAAGCTTAAGGGTTACAGATAGTAAACAAAGGCCGGTTTTATGATAGGGAAAGGATCTGCTTTGCATCAATGCTCTTACAGTATTACATTTACAGAACTAAGGATATACTGTAAATTGAAATAGTAAATATTACTTAAAACCTAAGAATACACTGATTTTGCATGGTTTTGTATTCAATCTTTCACTCTCAGGAATATTTAAGTTAAATGGACTCCAAAAGAAACAATAACTTAAACTTGAGACCGACAATATTACTTGGGGAGTAACATGAACAAGTGAAACTTTCTTATTGGAAGTGACAGTGACACAGACACTTCTTTACCATAAAGACAAGAAACGACGAACTGATTGACTATATGTGAACTGTAGCGAGTGTCATACTTAGCTGGAGTAGTGACAAGAATGTGACAGAAAATGGCATGCAACATAATGAAATGGTGCTTCTTGTGACAAGTTTAATTTGAAGGATTGAAAATAAGTGCAATTTGATAGAACTTGATCCAGCTTAAGTATCTACACAGTGATGGTCATATGAAGGTAGCCTTGTAAAGTGCCAAGCATACAACTGTGGACAGTCTGTTTTAGGTGGATTCAGTTGGATCCCCTAAAGCATCTACGTTAAATAGTAACAGTAGCATTATGGACTACTGACAATGATTTTAACATAATAGACTTTGTAGTACATATATTGCAAGTTACAGCCATAGTCTGAAGGTTACATTATGCTCGTACACGTAGGTCCCATGTATCATGTAAGAGCAATGAGAAAACATTGAATCGGTAGTGTGTACACCCGAGGTACAGTAGTTCAGAAACGCGGGTTTGTTTCAATTGTACAGCTTCAATATTTTCTCATACATGTTTCACAGTCTTGGGATTTTATTTAGAGTATTATTCAATGGTGTCCTCAATAATACTTTTCAGTTATTTTAAAAATATCAGCAAAACTTTAGAAACATTCATGTGAATGTTGCTGATGAATACAGCATTAATAAGCATTACTAGACAAACAATAGGTACACAATAGTCCAGAATTAATGACTCCATGACTTCTCCATGACTGAAATTAGGAGTTAAAACCTGAATATTACAGTATATTGCTAACTTTTGAGACTAAATATTTGTTTCCCTTGAGCATGAATGGTTATATGATAAGCTGAATGTAAGACTGAAAGAATTTATTAAGAGTGCATGAAAGGAGTGAGTCACCTAGCTTTAAACTACAACAAATAATTTTCAGGCTATTGTTAGAGAAGCAGAAACATCACTGAATGTAGGATACAAGTTAGGGTTTCATACATGTTTTGTGCTTGATGCTGTCAGCTTTACAGATAAAATGTTCATAGGAGGCGTCTTGTCAATACTGGCACTAGTAGGATAAGAGTATGATCTCAGTTGTAGGCTGCAACTGCTGTTAGCTTACACTATTAAAACATCAACTAAAATAGGCTAAATAATGTTGTTTCAGAGTGAAACAAATCTTACTATTATGGGCATTCAGTTAATTTATCTTAATAAAAAGTGTATAAATATATAACCAGTATTCCATTCAATCTCCTACTTTCTTCCAATACTGTAAAATATATAAAGTGTGACAATCATCAAAACTGCACCCTGAATGGGGACAACAAAAATTCACATATTTTTGCTTATGAAATGATAAATCTGCAGAATAAGTTATAATAATGTTGCTGAAACAAACAACCCAACCCACACATGTAATGAAAGTGATGACGTTTTGGTCTGTCCTGGTCCCTTATCACGCCCATGGCATGGGAAAATGTATCTACCCATATTTTGTCCTGGGCAGTGGTCAACATGCCTCCTGGTATTCATCAGCATTACACTGTGATGGAAATCAAGGCCAAACAAAATATATTTTACCTTTATTTTTCATATTAAATATATTCAAAGTAAGAAATATTTGCAAAAGTAAGAAACCAGCATTGAATAAAATGAAACGGCCTCTTCTGGGTGAGCCCCTGAGGCTGGCTCCCCCAAGGTTCTGGCTCCACTGAGCTATCCAGGCTGATATGGATATATTAGACTTAGGCATCAGTCAATGTGAATGGCATTCTAGGCCTACCGAGGACCACGAGCCAGAACCTGGCCCCCTCATAGGCACGAGGAGCAATGGCCTATATAAACCCGTGTGGTTGGAAGCCTTCTATGTCTGCCATCGACAGGGTCAGGCACCCAGAAAGGTAAGCGTCCCAAAACAAACCCCCTATTCTAGTTAAGAAATTGCGACTGAAAGCCGAACTAGTGGACAGAACTCCCCAAACATAAAACAAGCAAACGAGCATGACGTCACCACATTGCCGCGCCGCTTGTCTGCGCAGCTCCCCTCTCCCCGGGAGAGGGAAGGGGGAGCCCCAGATCCTCACGCCGGCTATTCACACCGGGTGTGAGGGCGTTTCATTACATTCAACGCTGGTTTTCTGGGGGGAGCTCCTACGGCTCCCCGGAGCTAATTACCCAAAGACAAAAACAAGAGGGACTTCCCCAAAGACAAAAACAAGAGGGACTTACCCGGGTCGGCACTCGCTCCTCACCGCAAAGTCGAGACAACTGGCTGCAACCGCTGACCCAAAGCGACACAGGCCTGACAAGGCTTAGGAACATTTATAAGGTAGTGAGTGGCCAGTACCCTGTTCGACCTCCAAAAACCCCGTGCCCGAATGTAAGGCCAAGACATGTTACTGAAGACAGCAGCCAGCACAGCAAACTTACAAACGTCGTGGGCACGAGGGTAGACCGCAGGCTGGCTGGACCGAATAACCCTGCTGACGACCTGGGAGACCCGAACCCTGGAACAAGGAAGGAGGAAAACCAGGTCAACCCAAAGCGCATCCCTGGTCACCAAGGCCGTGGCGCGCAGGTAATGGCGAAGAGCCACAACCGGACACAACACATGATGCACCCCTCGGCCTAACTAACCAAGCATCAACAAACCAAGGACCCCTCTGGAAAGCAGCAGCCTCATTCTTCGCTAGAAAAGAAGGAGATGGCTGCAAACGAACAAACCTACCACCAGGACAAAAAGAGCAGAAACCCCTGCACCGGAGGAGAGCATGAAGCTCCCCGACCCGACCCCCAGAGGCCAATGCCAAAAGTAAAAGAGCCTTGGAAAAACAATCCTAAACCGAGGGGGCCAACACAAACCGAGGCGAAGTGAGAAAAAGCGAGATCCCAGTCCAACGGCCAGGATAGCTCAGGCAGCGCATGAGAAGGCCGGAGGTGAAACAACACAAGAGACCCCAGTCCAACGGCCAGGATAGCTCAGGCAGCGCATGAGAAGGCCGGAGGTGAAACAACACAAGAGACAGCTTATGGAATGGCACGGAAGTAACATCAATGCCGAACACAAGCTGCAGAGGCTCTGCCAGTGCCGCACGATACGAGGCGACAGTATTCGGCATAACATGACGGTCCTGGAACAACTCCGAAAGGAAGGACAAAACAACCCAAACAACCTGAATTCTCCAAGCGAGGTAGGACCTGGAGCAACAGCGGCACTGGGGAGAATAGGTACAGTTAACCCCACCTCGACCAGTCCTACTGCATGGCATCGACCCCAACGGCCTCGCAGTCGGAGAAGGGCCCTATGTATACTGGGAGACACCTCAACCACGCCAACGCGAAGAGGTCCACCTCCAAGAGCCTGTTCGTCCAGCAAACCCAACTGAACGAGTTGGCTTCAACCGTCCATTCTGTGGACAGGGGAATGAACTGCGTCAGGCCGTTCGACAGACCGCTGAGCACCCCCCCCCCTCCCCCGAATGGCCAGGACAGCCAAACCCCGAGAACTCAGCAGACGAGTCACCCGAAGCGACCAGCCCCAAAGAGCCAAGGACTGCATCGAACCCCCTCAGTTCCCGACAATGAGCCACTGGGGAACAGTCAAAGTGGAGTCGAATTGTCGATCCCCGAGTGGCCTGAACCCTCTGAAGCAACATCCACACTGCAGCCAACTCCAGCACTGTGCTGTGTGCCCGACAGAAGAACAGTCCCACCGCCTCTGGCTGGCCTGGTGAGCACTGGTCACAAAGCCCCAGCCAAGAGATGATGTGTCAATGAACACATCGAGCAAGGGCTTAGGTAGGTGCCAAGGCACTGAACCCCAAAAAACCTGAAGAGGAAGTCAGCAACACAGCAACCGACGCAAGGCCTCCGGAGGCTGAACCCAGCGATTGCGAGAGAGGCAGAAGAGACGTCCCCGAAGGAACCAGAACAGCCAACAAAGCCAAACCTGACCCGGTGGGTAGACCATCACGGCAAAAGTTCAGGCTGCCTCACAAACCCTCATGCAACTGCTGGGTGACTCTGAAGCCCCCCAAAAACAAGTGAAGGTGGAACCGCAGCCAAAGCAGAGCCTCTGGAGTGAGAGACAAGGAAGTGGTTCGAGAATCCCACATAAGACCCAGTCAAAGCCGAACCTGAGAGGGAACCACATGGGACATCCTCCAGTTCACCAGAAACCCAAACCCGGTGAGCTGGGAAAGAACTCAATCAATCCCTGGTGAGCAGACATGCGGATTGGCTGGGAGCCCACACCAGCCAGCCGTTGAGGTAGTCCAGGATCCGAATCCCTAAAAGATGCAGACAGGCCACTATGACCCGGGTAAGGCATGTAAACATGCGAGGTGCCAGGTTCAAGCCAAATGGAAGGCAACGAAAGCGGTAACCCTGACGCCCCATAACAAAACTGAGCCAGTCACTGAACCCCGGATGAATCGGGACAAGCCAATACACGTCCCAGAGGTCCAGGGACAACATCCAAACCCAAGGCTCTAAAAGTAGCCATACCTGGGACAAAGTAGTCATCCGAAAGGAGGAAAAAACCC